CCTGATTGCTACGTGGGACTGGAGTTGAAGATACAGCGATGGACGACGATGGACTACGCGCAACGGTACGTTATTATAAATAATTTATTCTTCTCACATAAAAAGCACCTCACTGTTAAAAAGGTTGCTTTTTTATATATAAATTTGTAATTTACATTTTAAATTATAATTTATACAAGCATATTACAGTTTTTAAAGTTATATGCCTGATAAATTTTAAATATAGTAACTTAATTAAATTATTCTAAAACTGGTTTCTTTTATAATAGTATGGAAAAAAAATCCTTCATATATGGACATATTCTATATCTGTAATAATGTTTAATTAAATACAATCATATATGAGATCTTCTCAATCTCATGCAAAATTATTATGTCTAGATATAGAATTTGAGCATATATGAAGGAAAAATAATATAATTTAGAATTAATTAATCGATTATGTTTCATATCTCTACCATGAAAATTTTTGAGAAGAATAAATTATTCTGCATGAGTAGTAATCGCACTGATTTTTCACTATATCGTCACTCTCTACGTATAATCTTGTAACTCCAAAACGCAAATTTTAGGGGAGAGCAGTTTAAAAGTTTAAAGGTTCGTATAGTTTCCCTAGTTAAGGGATCTTTCGGTTTTAAATTTTTACCTTATGAATATTTTTTTAAATATTTGGTGACNATAAAGAACATGACTTTTTAAGCGTCATCATGCAATAAACTGAAAATATGTGATACTTATGTAATTATACGTAGGGAGTGACGATTCTTTTTTGATGAAATTTCCATTTGTATATTGTGTAATTTAAAACAATATTGTAATATTTCTTCTATATATGTGCTTTTTTTATTTTTTTTTAAATATAGTTTTTTTATAGTTTTTTTAAATATATATATTTATCTGTATCTTCTACATCTACTTTCATATTTCTATATCAATTTCTCTTAAAGAACCGATATAGAATTTTTTTTGGAGACTTTTATTCTTTTGTACTTCTATATCAATTTCTCTTAAAGTACTGATATAGAATCTTTTTTTAAAGACTTATATTTTTTATATATTTTTTCTACATCCAGTTTTATATTTCTATATCAATTTCTCTTAAAGAACCGATATAGAATCTTTTTTCGGAGACTCATGTTCTCTTTATATCTATTCTCTTCTTTATACTTATTCTTTTCTATTTTATCTTTGCAAAAATATATATTTGAATATATATTTGAAATATATAAATATTTAAATATATATTTTTACTTTTTTCATATTCTATCTCATCTATAAATACATGGTAGGCTTTATCGGATGGGAACATACTTTCTTTAAATCAAATAAAATATAAAAACTCGGTCAGGAAACTAAAATAAATTTAAAATAATTACTTTTAATTTTAAAACAACTGCCCCTTGCGTAAAATATTTGATAGATTTTAAAACTTTCCAAAGTAGGTAGGTAGGTAGTTATCTGTGTAGGTAGGGATACGTATCTACAAGCGTTTGTAGAAAATATATTAGGCCGGGTAGGTAGGAAATATGGTAGACCGAATAAGTAAGAAGAAATCAAAATGTCAAATTAGGATCAAGGTTGTTATGCAGCCTTAATCCTAATTAATAAGGCTAGTAACGTTTAAGATATGTCAGATGTCTAAGATAGATAGGTAGGTAGGTAGGATTATATATAACTATTTATATTATATTATATAATATTGTATTATATTGTATTATATTGTATGTTATATGTAACAAATGTGTAATAGAATTGTATTCTATTGTAATGTATAAAAAAATTGTAAAATGAAACTTGGAAATAGAAAACACACTGATAAAGAGTTTCAAATAAAAAAGCAAACGCTATATTTCTTGGAATTGCAACTTTTCCGACATTATATTTGTGTACCGTTAAAACACCTTTGTATAATATATATGGTTTTTTGTGTATTTCGTATCTATATATATATATGTAGTGTTTTTAAGAAAATAAAATAAAATTTATAAAGCACAGAGCAGCAAATGATGATGTAAAAGGACATGATATTTGACTACACTCCACGAATTCTGATGTTGCTCGCTAAAATAAGATTCTTTTTTTATCACATCTTTTCTGGTATATCACATTTATGTTGTACAAAAAGTTGCAATGGTTTTTCTTATCCTTTTCTGTTTTCCTTTCTCATCTTCTCATCACGAGATCGGTCATTTTAAATTTCAAAAAAAATCAAATTCACGCTCTCGAATATACTCACACACTTAAAGAAAGTGACCATTTAAACTCGTGCACATAGCACAGAATTGAACCGCACGCTGTGGACATAGCGTACCAACATGTCGCTCGTGGACTGGCTGCGTAGTTCCAATGTGTACCACTCGTGGACATGCGCTAGTTTACCGGGGGAAAAAGTGATTACACATTCTCTTATGGGCCTGGTCGCTCTCAGACTTCTCTCTGCTAAGAGCGGACCGTGCTTAATCAAGCAAAGCTTAAATATGAACTTAACCGACCGAAATATGAATCTAAAGAGCCGTCTACAATGGAGAGTTGTAGGCCGTAATAGTAAGAAATTGACCAATCACAGACAAAGTACAGAAGAATAATCGATTGTGATTTGTCAATTTCTTACTGTTACGGCCTACAACTCTCCATTGTAGACGGCCCTTAACCGGTTAAGTTAGGTTAGATTAGTATATGAACCTGACCAGATACTGTGTGAAGATATGAACTTAACCTAACTTAACCGATCGAGATGGGAACTTAACCGCTCTCTGGCCGCTCTCAAACTGTTTTCTGCTAATATTAAAAAATTTATAGACAAGATCTTTGGCTACAAATGTTATTAATATTTGTAAATTATTTATGTGTGTATTGATATGATTGGCCAGAATAAAAGAACAAATGTCCTGATTGGTCAATGAAACGCTATTATATATATATATATATATATATATATATATATCATCAGTGTTCGGAGCACAGTCTACTTGTCATAGTCCTTTTGTGGACTCCGCTTCCGCTACGTATAACGTGAAACGTGAAACCCTGTAGCCACGTGCAAATATGTGAATAATGTGTTCATATCACTTAGAATAATACGCATTTAAAAGTATAAGTGAATGCGTACGCGGTGGTTGGTAAAAAGTTTAAGCACGAGTGAATAAAAAAGGTAAACTTATCAATATGTGTATAAATTATTTCAATGTGGTCACATTATAACCTTTTCTACTCGTTTTATCTTACAAGTTCGCGATGTCCGTGCTCAAATTGTGCAAAATCGCACAGACACTTGCCAAGCATATTATTAATCTGAGCACAAGGAAACAAAGTTTTTCTTTACCTCATTAGTTAAATCAACTAGTTTACTTATGTGACTGATCAGGTCCAAGACCTGCGTTTTGCAATTCTAATGTAGAACGATATTTATGTGTATTGCGAAAGTTTGTGCAATATTATTTCTGTTCATATTACTTGAAATTGCTCTATTATCGTTACTTTGAAACAGTATTTTGCGGATTGTAAAAGATGTGTAAAAGAACTTGGCTTTGAAAGATTTGTGGAATAAAGAACTTGACAAATTAATTTATCTCAAACAGATGTCTGTGGTTTCTTCAAGAATTAGCAGTGTGTCAACTTTATTGAAAGGCACTGGAGTTCGATCACAAATTATCAAACAATCTAACAGAGTATATTTTAAACTTCCTAATGACATTAAAAAAATATTGTGTGATTTTGAGACTGGGAGTGGAATAAAAGAATATAAAAACTTGATAAGTTTACTTAGAGAAGGTGTTATAAAGGTAAAAATAAAATATATGTAGCTTTTGCATATAAATAATATAATAAATAATATATATGGATATTCTTGTGTTTCTCTTAGGATAGTGATTTAACAGAATTTCTAAAAGAAGCAAGAGAATGTGTGTCTTCTTTAGGTATTGAACATGAATTATTTATTCAAGCTATTCTTCAACTAGAATGGACAAACAGATCACCAGAAGTTATTTCTACTTATAAACAGTTTTTACAAGATTTAGTATGTATGCAGCTCTGCCATCTGAAAGCTGTGATAAATCATTTAGTTCAATTATTTAAGCCTGGTAAATTTTATGTTTAATTATATCTTTAAATATACTTTACAGCATATTCAATAAACTTTAGGTTTTTTAATAATATAGACATTAGATAACATAAATAATTTTTTTAGTGAAAGACAACAATGTGGAACATGAAGTGGAAGAAATAAAACCTGAAGATATAGAAAGGCTAAATCACATACATGATATATTACACAAAATTTTAGAGTTGATTCCAATGTAAGTGTCAAATCAATTAATATATACATATAACATTTGCTTCGTTGTTATTGTAAATATACACATTGAAAATGTTTTAGGTCAAGCAAACTTTTGTTACAATCTCTCGGATCGCAATTTCCTTACATCAAACATGGCACTTATACTCATAAAATCTATATCTTCGCACTATTGCATATACTAAATTACGCACCTCAATTCAGAACAGATATTTTGTCTTTAATCATTAACAGGTAATATTGTCGCGTGTAGTTAACTTTAGATTTTATTCTTAAACAATATTTTATATATCTGTATTCATATGATTTAGATTGACAGTTTTGGATATCGATGTACCTCGTAAGAAAATCACTGACGACGATGAAGAAGATGATAAAATCGATGATAATATTGATAGTAATAAAACAACTGACGGTGATGATGATCGAATTAAACTAGATATTGATGCAGACAAAACTATAATTGACCATCCTTCGGCACGTACATTAGATACGTGCATGGAATTATTTCTCAAATACATGCACGAATTCTGTTTCGTAAACGATGATTTGAAATTAGGATCTTTGAGAATACTTTACATAGATATTCTCCGACTATTTGAAACTGTAATATTATCTACGCACGTTACTTTATACGTGCAATATATCATGTTCTACATTTGCAGTTTCAAGCCTATTGTGGCAGAGAATTTCACAGATTGGTTGTGGTGTAAAGTAATCGATCTGAATGCAGCACCAGTTTTACGGCAAACAGCTGTTTATTACATTTCTAGTTTACTTACTACTGCCTCGTATGCATCTCACGAGTGAGTATCACAGTGTTCATCCATTAATTTTTATCATTATTATAAAACAACACTGTTTATAACGCTATAATGTTCATTTCTTTTAGATTAGTAAGACACACAATGTCTACATTAACAAAATGGTTACACAATTACATTGGAATGCAAGAATATTCGGAATGTGTAATGATGACTGACGATGATGCGAAAGCACACATCGTGTTTTATTCAGTTTGTCAAGCATTCTTTTATCTGTTCAACGCAAGATATAAAGAATTTGTCACATCGAACAATGGTGAGTGCATATTTATCATACACGTACATCCGACAATTTTATAAATAAACTTATTTTGATATTTTTTCAGGTATAATATTTCTTCAAGAACTCAATATATCAAGCATCGTTGCTTGTCAATTAAATCCTTTACAAATATGCACTACCGAAATTGTCTACGAATTTGCGAACATTACGAGCACGTATCAGTTAGCCTATTGTTATACTATAATTGAGACCAATGAGCGCAGTGAACTCCCGATTTTTGGAAGAAAACGTCGTTTACTCGTTTTACTTCCCAGGTTTTTCCCCTTTGGATCTTGTTTGCTCCGGCAAAGCAGACAAAGACTATCTCCCTTATTTCGCAATAATATAATGAATGCCGAATCAGACAAATAAAAATAGTTTGTACACATTGTATTATTCATATGTGATATGATTAATATATGTACATGAATAAACAAAATATATATACTAGTATATATATATTTAAATCAATGTCTGAAAAAGCAAGTGAGTTTTGACTTTTCTCGACTGTGTAAAAATGGTGTATGAAAACAATAGAAGAAAGATAAAATAATAAAAGAAAAGATAAAATAATAGATGTATCAAGATATTTAAAAAATAATATTTATTGAAAAAACGTTAAAAAAAAAAAAACTTTTGGAACAAATTTCTCTTTTCTCTGCTTCAATTTTACTACTTTGTAGAGAAGAAAGAACGAGTAACAAATATTAGAACAATTTGAAATCAAACTTCGCGGTTAGATGGCGTGCCGGAAGTTTGATAAAAACAGGGGCGCAATACGTTCGTTAGCGGAGCGATCGCAACTCAGGTTCGCACGCATTGGCTCGCGCTAGTATGGTAGACACACGTAAAATGGCGAGATACAGTTGTTATTTACTCGATTCAAAAGTAGCGGAATAAAGGCGGATAAAAGCAAGTCGGAATCGTTCAATACGTTGATTAGACGGTCTTGTTTTTGTGTCTGTTCCGCGAAATAACTTTTGTAAGTGATCGTGAGTATCATGTCTAATGTGAAGAGTTTACAATTTAACGCGTGCATGAAGAGAGATCGCTGTCGTTCTCATCTTCGCCGTACATACGTATGTAGGTTTTGTACATATTCGGGAAGCTGTTTTTTTTTCCAAGCTTGAGTTATCAACCACATATTCTGTATTCCTCGTAACAAGATTTTGTTGTTTCGCCAAATAGTGTCTTTCCCCGCAAGTAATCTCTTAATCCGCGCAATGAGGTTATGAATCTTCACAGCAAGAGGTTTTTCTCGGCTGATCTCCAATTCGATCGCAAGAAAAGTACCAAACTCTCATTTTCTGCAAGTAATAATTGTTCTGCATCTTCGATTTCGAGATCTGACCTATTTTTGCGAACGATCTCTGTCTCACAGAAGCAAAGAAATGCGTTTGCGATTAATATCCGCTGAATTTTAGGTTATAATATTGTAGAAGTAAGATTGAACTATTTCGTTCGATGTTCTCTTTTACGATTTGCTCCCAGTCGCAATAAGTCTGTTGAAAGTTTATCAAACGTACTAATTTTCTATCAAAATGTTCCTCCTAAAGATCTAATCTTGCATTAGTTTTCTTGACAATTAGAAATCGTGTCTTTTGCACGTTAAAATCTATCTCCTTGAACAAGTGTCTCGATTAATCTCATTCGTTGTTTTTACTCCTTAGAATATACTTTCAGACACATACACAAATAGAATGATTATCTCTATTTTGTGTTTTATATGAGATGTTTTATATCTGTGTATATAAGAGTGATTTGGAGAAATGAATAATGACATATTTGACAGAAAAGTTTATATATATATACTTACTTACAATTAACTTATTTATAACTAATGAAGAAAGAGAGGAGACAGTAAAATTGATAACAGTGTATTATAATATACAATTTTCTCATATATTTATTTTACTTTTAGATTTTATAGTTATATTAGTCTGTATACATATATATATATAAATATATATGNATCAAAATATTTAAAGATCTACAATAACCAAGAATTTTAAATATATTAAAATTATTTTATTATCTCTCTTTAGTCTTATCACAAAGCATATATTCCAAAACTTAGTGGAAAATTTACAATATCAGTTATATTGTACATGTGTGTTGCACTATCACATCATACTAATATATGTTGTATAGGTATATGTATATATGTGTGTGTGTATATATATATATATATATATATATATATTTATTTATTTATTTATTGTACTATTCATATTTTTGTCACAATTAAAAATACATTTTGCTTTCTCATAATAAAATAATTTATTATTTTGTTATTTTCACATATATTTATGCTGCATGTTGTATTGTTTGCATAATATTTGGTTGGTAAACAAGTCAAATTCATTTAAAACATACATCATAAAATTGTGTACATCACTTTTTGTTTCTAGTAAAACATCTTTGAAGCACATGTTGTAGATTTTACAGTTGCTCAAAGGTAAAAATATAAAAAAATGAATATACAAAAAGCTTATGTTTCTGCAATAAGTTCTTCATTGTTGTTAATAAGCAGAATTTATTATTATGGTTATAGAAGTATTTAAGGAAATCACTTTGTATAGGAGACTACTTTAAAATTTTGAAAATGTTTTATTAGTATTAAAATTTATGCATTAAAATTTATATATTCTGTACATACTTGTTGCTAAAATCTGTCTTGGATAGATTTTATCATAGAAGTAGTTTTGCTGTCTATTGTGTTTTAACAGTGCCTTGTAATCTTTAAAATAGAAAATTATAATAAATATATATTAGTTGAAGATATATTAAATATATATTTTGAAACTTACAATTAAATTTCAACTACACAGTTACAAATACATATAGTTTTATTTCAACAAGCAAACATTATTAAATTTATATATTTCTATTTCTATTTTTAACAATTTTCTCAGTTTATTCTAATTTTTTTTTTTTTTTTACTTTAAAAATGGTAAAGCGCATAAATTGTATCACATAATATGTGAATGTTTTCTCATAGGATATCGTGTAAGAGCAGATACTTTTGCAGATATGATATTGATGGATTGGTCCTCCTTGATATATTAGCAGCGATACAATATTGATCTTTAGTAATTGAAGAGGATCATATTTTTACCAGTAATTAAGTCTTGAATAATATGGCACAATATTATAACCTTGTGACTAATGCCGGTAGTACTTTTACAATTGAAGAAGTACCAAGAGTCTGTACTGTAGATGGACAGCCAGTTCAGTTAGTTGTTGAGAACGTAAATAATAGTGGTAACAGCTCACAGCAGCTTGTGGCCTGTCCTGCTACATCACAAAACAGAGAGGCAATATTTCCTTCGCATACTATTAATTTAGGAAATCAAATAGCTGCAACACGATTGGAACAAGGGTAATTAATGCATGTATTTTCAAATGTACAAATGTATTGAAATAGTAAAATAACAGGTTTATCTAAAGTTATGATTATGCAATGCTAAGATAGCTCAGAAAATTCTAATAATTGTAAAATAAAATAGTAAATATCTTACAAATACTTTCATTTCTACATTAATTTATCTTATTATGTACAATAGGCCATACATTTTAATTAAAACGTTGTTTTGATTTCTAAAAGGCATAACAACGTCAACTTTAATAACTAATATTCATGGGGACTATACACAAGAGTTAATTAACATTTTGAACGATATGTAACATTTCAATGTTAAAGTGATGTTGTAATCGTCAAATGTATGTACAACGTAGAAGATATTAACAGGTGCTTCTTAAAGTAGTCTTCTATTTTCTGCATAAGCATATAAATGTATGTTAATTAACGATAAAATAATATTTATAAGCAGTGAAGATAACATTAAATACTAATTAGAGCAAAGGAGAAGTTTTATAATCTCTACAATAAACGCGTGTGCCTCAAAGAAAAACTTATCAGAGTAATTGCTAGGATGCTGACTTACTAATATATTGGTCATGAAAGAGTTATGTGTGTATGTATGTGTGCTATAGACATATATATTTAATACATAAACATCACGGAATTTGAACTTTATCTTCTATTGCAATTATTACATTTGTTTTATTGGAGATTATAAATTTATTTGCACCTGCCGCTTTTTATTCTAAAAATATTAAAATTTTATTTTTATTTTAAATAATGTAGCAGTTACATAATGAGAGATAAATAAAAGTGGACGTTGTTAGATAATCAAAATTGCAAAGAAAACTATATATGATGCACAGAAAATTAGTAATACACTTTTATAAATAGTTTTTAAAATTGTTGTTATGCACAATGTAACAGTTGTATAATCCTTTTGTTGTGTGGCCTGTAATTTGTATTCTATTCTATTTTTAGTTGTTTAAAGTCAACATTTTTCAAACTTGTATCTTTTTACTGAAAAATTAATATTAAAATATGAAAATATTTATATAATTACAAAAAGTTAAAATATATATTTATGAGAAAATATATTTATATACATATATATTAATATGCTTGCTTGATCTAGTGACTGTTAATATAATTTAAGAATTTAAGTATTATTATAAACCAATATTTGCAACAAAGTTTATTTTTCAGACAAGATGTGTTTATAATCAAAACAAATAATATAGCTTCAACTCAGGAAATATTAAAATCTAATATCGCGAATGCACATACTACTGAAAATATTGTGAAGATTGTAGATCATTCAGGTAAACATGTTAACTATATTAATATATATTCATCAAATTAAAATATATATTCATCAAAATATTAAATCTTTAAATTTGTCATTCTTGTTTCCAGGTATTAAAACAGATTGTAAAAATGAAAGACAAACACAGTGGATAAAAATGCAAAATGCTGCTACGACCACAGTGTTAAAACCAAATACATTATTACAAGAAAGAAATCAGACTGCCACTGTAATTAGAAATAATACCCAAAACGACATTGTATCGCCAGTAAGTTTAAATAATATAATAATGTGTTCAAAAACTAAATTAATGTTTTTTTTTTTTTTTGCTTATAACAATATCTTCTTTTAGCCATCTGCTTGTATGAACTCTGGTTTATCCAATTTTGGAGACAAAAAAAAACCTTACTATAAAACTCTACAGGTGACGAACAATATAGGTGTAGCGTGTCAAACTTCAGATAAACTAAATGTAATAACTACAATGGAAAATCGGATTCAAAATTCACATGTAGCAACTCCAAGACCTGCCATGTCTGTCAACAGCAAAAGTATTAATCACGTGGGCCAGAATATTGTACGACCAACGCGTTCTAATACGAGTATGTTACATGTACGGCCTGTAGCTATAGTTCCTCCCGAAATCTCGAAAACATCTGTCAGAGTACAAGGTCCGGAAATGAAATGCTTGAACGAGCATATCAAGCAAGCGAAACTTAAAATGCAATTACAGCAAAAGCAACATATCGAGAAACAGAAATGCCAAAATAACCCACAACGACAACAACAACAACAACAACTTCCTAACACATTGCATCCTGTCCAATCCTCACTGAACCTTTTACAATCGCGTCGTTCGATAACACCAAATTCTGTACAACAAAAGACGCAACAGATTTCAATGTCTCCGCAACCTCAACAAATTCAAAAACAATCCGTGACAGCATCGCCAGCTCCTTCAGCTGAAACTAATAGGCACGTTACCAGTACTAACGTTACCAGTAATATGGAAGTTGATCTTTCTGAGTGTACGCAGGAAAAAGAGATTATTACTCAACAATCTCCCTCATTGCAATTAGACCATGAAAAAAGTTCAAGTGAAAGCGTTGCTTATCTTCAGAAAACCATCAACGATCCAAAAAGTGCTATAGTTCAGCAACAAATTAACGGAAATAAAGCAAAAATGTTAGTGATTTTAACCTCTGGAGAACAAAGATTAATTACTTTTGACATACCGAATGAAGACTGTACTGTGCACGACCTATTGGTTCAGGTACGTGCAGTCATGATGAATCAGGTACGTTATATAAACTCGGAAAATTTGTAAATTTAATACAAATAGATGAATTGTATTACAGTAATTGCACAAATACATTTTTTTTTTTTTAAAGAATACGCAGTAACGGTCTAGACAGAACGGTCTGTACCAATTTGACCGTATCTCTTAAAATTATACGAATATATACAATATATACAATAATATACATAATGAAATACGAGATTACAAACTCAAATTCAAAAGTGTTCTTTAATTGTAAATTACATATAATGAATAATATTAATTATATCATTTTAATATATACAAGTAATCTTTTTCCAGGTTAATATCTCGTTTTCTGGATCAACAGTCTCCCTGGTAGACGATCCTGCGCTTGGTATAAACTATATAGTAGATGTCAGTTCTAGATCAGCTGGGACAAACTCAGACAATGATCACACTGATTCTACTTCTAATTCTACTCAAGAAATTGTAAGCTCCACTACAACAAACAGTGACATTTTATCCCAAAATACCAAGTAAGATATATTTTAATTATTTCATATTTGCTTATATCGATAAGTTTATGTTCAATTGTTAAACAAATAACATGAAAAAAAATATTTTTAGCGCATCGGATGAAAACAGTAATACCTCTTTTGCAAGCACGGAGGTGAGCTCATACATTTACTTAAAAAAATTAGAACAAAAAGTGAGAACATTGGCATATGACTTGGGTATTATTTTTCTTTTGTTTTATATACATCTATGCATTGCATGCATATATAGAAAAGTAATAAATTATATATCTTTTTTCTTGATTTAACGCATTTAATTAATATCAAAAAATTCTGTTATTTTCTTACGTCTGTGTTAGGAATATCTGACATCGTAGTTTAAATTTGTATACTTTATGCCAATTTCTTTGCTTGATAATTAGTTACATTAACGAACACAGCGTTGAAAAAGTACGCAAATATGTACAGTTGTAAACCTAGTTTCGCGTCAAGACTGCGGTAATTATCTTTGATAATAACTTTAATAAACGAATTTACGATAAAAACACTTTTAAAGTTGTGATATTAATATAAATATTAATATTACTATAAGAGAACCACTCTTGTGTAAGAAAAGAAAATATGAGATGGACAATACATAATATATAAAAAATATATACATGTACATGTATAGAGAGAGAATAAGAAAGAGAAAACAAGAAAGAAAAACAGAACTCACATATTCTTATATTCGATAAGAATGCTTTATTAACACAACAAAGGAGTATATCTCAACAAAGAAAATTGTTCTGCAACTACGAAGTATATCGTGTTATTACTTAGGAACCTATTTTGGTCAAGGGAATGCTTGCTCTCTGTCCACATTGCGGCTACAGTTCACTCCACTTCAACCGATGTGAAAGATGTAATACAAAATTAAGTGAAGAAGTCAAGTCGATACCCATAGCACAAAAGGAGTGTGGGATATCTGTTGATGTAAGGATTATGATTGCGACGTTAGAAGACCGTTATTATATTACGCTTAATAGCACAATACTCACCTGTTATATAATGATCGATAACATAATCGATGAAAATAGCTGACAAGGTTTTAGATTATTTATGAGTTTGTTATTATCTTAACATTTTTTTTTTAATATAATCAATTTATAAAATGCTCTTAATTCGCGTTTTTTTAAACGCTTTTATAAGTATTTTGCAAAGTTTTCTGAGATATCTTAAATCTCGGAATTGAAATGTAATTAATAAAAAAAGTTCTCACAATATAAGACTAGTCATCAAATTGAACCTTTTAAATGATTAAATTAAAACATTCCGAAAAAAGTGGGTTTTTGTGTGCTCTCTAAAAGTTCAATTTGATGACTTAGAATTAAATATATAATATTGTATAATACTTGAAGAAATTAGAAAAAATAAAAGCGCATATAACATGATTACTACAAGTTATATTGAAGGCAGCTCGTAACAAACTTCAATATACTTTCTATATATATCTATATCAGGTGAGTGAAAAAGTTCGTGCCCGATTTATCATTAAAATCAATCAATCAATCGTTGATTTTAATGATAAATCGGGCATGAACTTTTTCACTCATCCAATATATATTTTATATATATGTATATATACGTATGTGTGTGTGCGCGTGTGTGTGTGTGTACATATATACATATAAAATTTCCGACATATTCTCTACTTTTCTTCGTCAGCAACTCTTTTCACCAATATTTCTTAAAGTGAAGTATTCTATAAATATGTCATGACTGTATATCTTTCCAGATATTTTATAAGAAAAATAATGAACGAAATACTACACGATTAGAGAAAACAGAACGAGACGGTCCTACATGCAAACGGCCAAGAGGAAAGGGTAAAGGTACACCTTCAAAACCAAAGCCTATTCACAAAGAACCAGGTATATACGTAATGTACTTTGCGCACATAAAAAAAAATATCAATATATAAATCTAGTATTGGCAGTTATTTTATTATTTTGTATTAAAAATATTTTAGTATGTTACATTTTTATGTTTTTAGAGTGTTTGACAATATCATCTGATGAAGAAGATGAAGGCAAGGCTAAAAAGATAGGAAACATTAATAATAATACGTTAGGCCATGCAAGTAATTCTTTTAATGAAGAAGTGGGCACCATATTAGAAAAAGAACCAATAATTACCACCAATTGTATTTTTAGTTCGTATAACGATTTTAAAAATGATGAAAAATTTGGTACAGGTAATATTTTTTTTCATAAAGAACATGAGTGATAACGATATACTATGTAGCCGATATTAAAAAATAATACTATGTTTATATACACACTAATGAGTTGATACCGGATTTTAGGAACGTGTGATAATGAGAGCTTTGTAGACAATGAACAAGCATTACAAACTGCCATAGAATGTCGAACAGTCAGAATAGGATCTTATAAATATATTCCACGAGAAAAAATAGTAGTTTCTCGTACAGGTGTAAAATTTAATGTACCTTTATTAGAAGATGGTAGGTGTTAAATTGCTCTTAGATACATATGTATAATTTGGAGAAAGAAATCTAAAGAGAGAGAGAGATTAAATATGATGCGTGTATTTTTTAGACACAAGCTTTATTACATTGGATGTGAAATATCGAGATATAGTTAAATTATTGATACATTTTGGAAAGACAATGCCGGTGCTGTTCTTTTATACAACTACAAATACAGGCACTATGATACGTGAATTATTAGGAATGCAAGATCCAAAAGGGCCATATTATGATCCTGCTGGAAAAGGTATATTTGTGGTTTATGCGAAAATGATAACATCTTGAAATGGTCCTGTAGCACGGTGAGAGGAAATTTTTAATGCGCGACCTTGTTTTCGTGCAAAGTCCATTACGTGGCATTCAAATTCGTCGTAATAAAATAATACAGATACATGTATTTTCGTATCGCGCATGCTCAGATAAAAACATTCCGCCCAAATGACAGATTTTCTAACCTCTGAAACGTCGTTTCTTTTTTTCAGTAATTACTCTTTCTCGTTGTTGAGCGATAAGTTTTATTTATTAAATTTTTATTAATGCTCAAAAACACATCAAATAAATATAATTTTATTAAAATTTAAGAGCGCAGTTATTAAACAAAATTTAATTGCGTTTCCACCATTTTCAATTAAATTAATCGTCTAATTAAACGTTATTTGCTAATTCGACTACATAAATCGATGCGATTGGTCACTTCTGTGGAAATGATCTTCAGTGGAATGATCGAAGATATTGAAAATAGTTTCATTTATATAAAAGGATCCCAGACAGACATGATTACTAATCATGTTGTAGGTTGTGGTTGAAGATAAACAATCGCAGATGGTCACCAAAACTGTTATCAGAATCACATTATGTTGTCATTACGCACAAAATTGTATTTATTCAGTAACGATTTTTAATTGGAACGAGTTGTTTCAAACTATGCTATAGAACTTTCCTGAAAAGGAAAAAAATTATTTTCAACAGATATATATATATACGTATATATAACCAGTATATCAATATCTTGTATTATTTGTTAGATCATACGCATAAACGTATCACGTTATTGCCGGACAAATTAGCGGATGATTCAAGAGCCATAATAACAGCTTTGTTTGCACGAGGAGATAAAATGGAAGAATTGAATCCAAAAGAAGCTAATGATATACTTTTGCGAGCATCGCCTAGGGATGTATGTGTTTTGACAAAGTATTTTTCAGTTACGTATATAATAATATTTGTTTCTAAATATTTATTCACACATTTTTTCACAGAATCAATCACAGGTGCAGAGTATTACAACTCGGAAACAAAGCCAAAATTCAGCATCAAGTACCGTCAGTGCAAATGAACCCATACAAACGTAAGAGTTCAGTTTTACGAAATAAAAAAATGTATTTATTTTCTTTTGAGTTCCGTAAGATAAGTAGTCGCTTTTTTTTGCAGAATAACAGTTTATCCGCCACCTCCTGCAAAAGGTGGCATAGCTATCAACACTGAAGATTATTTATGCCTTGCCGAAGATCAGTTCTTGAACGATGTGATTATAGACTTCTATTTAAAATATTTAACCTTGGAAGTATTATCGGAATCTGACCAACAGAGAACTCATGTGTTTAGTTCATACTTTTATAAACGTTTGACCAGTCCACATGCTCAAGCTGCTGAAAGTGTTATCAAACCAATAACGCCTGCCGCAAAGCGACACGCGAGAGTGCAGAAGTGGACAAAAAATGTTAATATATTTGAGAAAGATTTTATTATAATTCCAATTAACGAACAGTAAGTAATCTCCCACTCTTAAATAAACGGTAAACACTACTTTTTTATTTACATTAGATGTACAAAATACATCGTATACATATTACATGATATAACAATGTGTGTTATTTGTAGCGCACATTGGTTTTTGGCTATTATATGTTTTCCTGGATTAGTTGGAAAAGTTAATTTGCAAACTAACGAAAATAATATTTATAAGACTGTGCAAAAAAGCAAAAAAGTAAAAGAGTTGAAAAAAGCAGTTACTATAGGTTCTACAACAATTACTCCTGTACCTACAACCATAACGATAGAGCAAGATGAAGGCTCCGAGAGAGACGAGGCCGAAGGCGATGATGAGGAAATGGAAATGGATAGTGACGAAGAAGTAAACAAAATTTTATTGCGACATTATTTCTCGCTACGAAATAATCAATATGCTTAATTCTCTTATTATTTTCAGGATGAAACTGAAGAATCAGAAGAAAATAGCACACCAAGCCTCGTTAAAACCGAACAGCAAAAGGACACTGTTAAAATGTGAGTGGAATGCATAATATGCAATTAACATAATCCGTGAACAGAATTTCTATAATTTGAATAACGTTAATTTGTAGTCCCTGCATATTGATATTCGATTCACTCGCTGGTGCTAGTAGAGCTCGAGTAGTTGCAACATTAAGAGATTACTTAATGTGCGAACACATTGCCAAACTTGGTGTAGAAAAGACATTTTCAAAAGATACTATCAAGGGTGCATGTCCGAAAGTGCCACAGCAATCAAACTTCACTGATTGTGGATTGTACGTGTTACAATATGTGGAAAGTTTTTTCAAAGTAAGTAAAAGTTCGAAACTTTCTTGTTGTTTATCGCGTGTAGTTCCGATCAACACAACTTATCAACATAATTACAAGACTATATGTTTTGTTCGCATTTTTAGCTTCCAATTACTGACTATACCTTACCAATTAAAACTTTAAAAACATGGTTCGAGGAAATTGTCGTAACGAGAAAGAGAGAAGAATTGTCGAAACTGTTAATTAGATTGATGAATGATACGAAGGGCGATAAGACCATCAATCTGCCAAATTTGAATTTTCCCACGCAAGACGGCAAATTAAAACCGAAGAGCGAAAACCAGACAGACGCGAAGACTACAAAGCCAGAAGTTGAGAATAAGAAAAAGCCTACGAATGTAGACGCAGAAACGCGTATTGTTTCATTTGTTACAGAAAATAATGAATCATCGGACTTTGTTAGTAGAACCACTTTTCAAATCATTCCTTACTCTGTAAGTTCTTCTAACTCGACTGAGAGCAATCCAACGGAAATGAACGAGCAAAAACCTACAAGGTATATTTAACCATATTTTATATAATTTTATTTAATTTATTTTTTTTAATTAATTTTATTTACTTGACTTGAAATATAATTTTGTTTTCCATTATATCAAAATATCACGCACGGCCTATGAATTGTTCCTATCTCGACTCTTTTCTTCACGGCAATTTTTCATGGATATCCTGATCTTCTCCAGAAATGCTTTCCCGTAAAATGTTTCCGTACTAATTGAAAGCTGTACAAGATTTTTTTTTTACGTACTTTCTTAATATGTAAACAAGTGCAATTACAAATGTTATTACATCGAATCATTTTGTTGATTTTCAGATCTTCAAGTGAGACAATGTCCTATTTAAAATCCAAACGAATTCCTAGGTTAGTGTCGAAGACACAGAATCAAGAAGACTCTCAAGTGTCGGTTAAGAAGCATAAAGGGGAGTCCTATAATTCTTGTAAATAAATTGTTTCTTTTTTACAGTGATAATATTAACTTACCTTCACACAAAATACATGAAATCATTCTATATATTACGATATGTAGTGTTAAAATATCTCATATAAGAAACGAATAAAACTACTGATTTGATTTCTGATTATACGTTTGTGATATCTTCTTTATATGACCTTAACACGTAACTTTGAAATATTCAATGATATTATTAGTCTCTAGATAAAATTTTGTTTTTTTTTTTTTCGATACACAACAAAGCTTTAGATTTCAACAGCTGACAGATATTCCGCGGCATCTGCAACGTGTCACGGCGCTAGAAAACTCATCGGTTACGTATCAAAGATTTCTATCAATTTATATTTGCGATATCATGTAAAAGTATATGTTTTTAAATAATATTTAGATACATGTGTGTACGCATCATCAGATGTTTATTTCTTATCTTTTATATATCTATAGATCTACATATCTTTTATATATCTATATATATATATATCAAACCAAGGAGTGACCTTTAATTTTCTTGCATCTCGAGCCAATAGCAATTCACTGGTGTGATACTATATGCTTCGAAGCAATTGCAACGACTATTTAAAGCCGCTGCGACATGTGTCTATGTAGACACATATTCAGTACGCGTAGTTTTAAATAACTTTCGCTACACGCGCGAAAGAGTTCCACTTAACGTGAATATTTCTCTGCGAAGTATTTATGAAACTCTCAAGACGATACAAGCTAAAGTAATAATCAATACGATTCGGCGATTGCTTTAAGTGAGTATCTGCATTGTGTGTCTATATTGTATCTTTTTTTTTAGATTAGAAAACTACTACAATCTTTATACAACTAACAAACTGATTATGTAATACGCTCTTTTTTCGCGCTTTATCATTTTAATTATTATATGGAACAATATTCATTAATTAATTAACCCGAGAACAACAGCAGCGTATTATTTTTATTAATTACGCGTAAAATATAAGGAGAAAAAAAAATATTGATTTGCTTTGCTATTGAAATAATGTAAAAAAAGATTTATAACTTTTATGTAACATTTATGTGTGTCGCGAGATGTTAACTGCGTAAATCTCCGAGTATGGTTTCGCTGGGCTTGTGTGTTTTCATGATGATGTCGCGTTCATTTAACTAATGCGCAACTTTAATAGGATAATGCCTGGATCAATAGACTTAATAGTGTCCACGGTATATATTGGACTCACGATTTGGATAGCGTACTGGCTGAGGCTGTACACACTATTTTATCTCGATGCTCGTCCTTTGACGAAGAATTTAGTCCTAGAATTCATAGCTACAGCTGAACTTTGTGGAGCGTGTTTCGAACTCATTATAAGTAAGTTTGTTTTTTATAAAATATTTTTTTTTTAGCATCGAGATAGACGCAACTTTGTTTCTTATTTATTGCTTCTCTGATTTTTTTACTTTTTATTTTTATTTTAATTGTTTATATTATTGCATTTATATTATCGCAGAGCTCTTGTGTATTAAATCAATGCGTTTATGTTATTTTCAACATTTATTGAAAATTTCTCTCAGTTGCGGATAATTGGGGAGTATGGATGTACGCGCTTTATTTGTTTCTGCTGACGATTTGGTGGTCGATAAATTGGGACGAGGCTTCAGCGTGTCCTTACACGCACATGGAGGATATAGTCGTCGGTAGAAAACCGCTGGGCGTTGCTTTTCTCTCGATATGTGCACAACTGGTTGGCGGTCTTGTCATATTTAAATACATTCAAATGTTGTGGGCGCTCCAACTTGTCTCTACGCACAAGAATAGAGCTTACGGAGAATGCACTACGGATTTACAGGCAAGACGTATCTTTTGATTCTGCGTGCGAAGCAGGAATTTGCTCGCACGCGGAAAATACACTCTCATCGCATTATATATATCTGCATATGTAATATAATCAGAATACTATTCTGTGCGCTAAAATGATTATCACGAAATTTTAGGTATCTGCTATATTGGGAACATTAGTGGAGTGCATTGCAACGTGCATATGCAGAGTGGTGTCCCGAGTGTTGAGCGAATTGAATCCGAGATTTAGCATGGTGATTGATGCTTTCGTAGGAACATCTTTGGTGGTTGCAGGTTGGCGAATTTTTCCACTCTCTTATCTCTCTCTCTCTCTCTCTCTCTATCTCACGATATAAAATTTTCTGCTTAATTTTTATCACACGTTATATCTTTCAGCGTTTAATTACACCGGCGGCTACTTCAATCCGGCACTGGCTACTTCTTTAAAATACGGATGTTTGGGAACTACACCGATGGAGCACGTGATGGTTTACTGGATTGGAGCGTGTATCGGATCTATCGCCTCGTTGTACGTGTATAACATGCCGTTTGTTCAAAATTTTATTCAACGACAGGAAAGTTCAGAGGTATTTTAATGAGATGTGAAACGCGCGCGATGTTTAAGAAAATGTGTGTACATATAGATAATATGTTTGTTATCTAAAATTGTAAGTATATATTTATTAATTAGATATATATTTTTTGTGTCTTATAATTAACAAAAAGAACGTACAAAATTATATGTGCCAAAAAATAGTGTTATACATTCCGACTGTGATTATCGTAAATAATTGTACAGCTGCACACATGATATTGTTCATACTTTGACTTTAAGATAGAAAAAAATGCTCAGATTGTTGAACCGTCTGTATTAAATAAGTAATTAAAAAAGTGACAGTAAGACTAAATTATTTAATATGGATAAAGTGCACTGTTGCTTCTGAAATCCCTTACGAAAAAAAACACAACTATAAAACAATTGCACATTATCAAATATTAAAAATATATCAAATATCAATAATATTGTCACATTAATAAAAAAAAATATCAAAAAACCTATATATAGAATTCCGCCTTGGACGAAAAATCGTATTCGATTGCTTCGTTTGTGTACATTTCGATACTCTGCAACATGAATAAGCACAGATATGCGTTATTTTTCGTTAAGAAAACTTAAAAATTTGAGAATTGTCATTCTTTCTCACTCGGATATGTACTTACACCGTCGATATCTTTGTCTAAATTCTGCACTTGTTTCTCGTGCGTGACCTTCAATTTTTCTTTTTCACGTCCCTGTTTGATGTCCATGGTTTTCCTCTCGTCTAGGAATTTCTTGGTATTTTGCTGTTTTTTCTCACGAAGTCGTCTGTCCTTGTCACCCTTTGTTTTCAATGCCTTATCGTTCATCACTTCCTTTGCCGTTTCCACGGACACTTTCGCCTGGTTGGAATTCATCTCCTTGATATCTCTGCGACGCATCAGTGTGTGTCACATGACATGAAAACAAAAGAATGTCAGAAGTAATCGAACAAAAAATCGTTAGAAATTATAAAAATAACAATTAAACTAACTTGTCATGTTTAACCTGCATCATTTTAACTTGCGATGTTTGCACGACTTCGATCAGTTTCTTTAATTCGTCGCGAGAGCTTTGCGTTTGATTCTTCAGTATTTCCCATTCTTCTTTCCTCTGTTTTTCCATCATAGCGGACCATTGAGCCGTCTGTTCGCTTATGATTTTTTTCAAATTGCTGTCTTGCGCGAGAGCATTTTTGCTGAAAATAAAAGACGCGAATACATCCCAAATGTCTTCGACGCTATATTAAAATCGCAAATGTTAACGCGTACTCTTTTCCCTTGGTTAGCTTCTCGATAGCGCTGCAATGATTCTTCTGCATAGTTTGTCTCTCTTTCAAATGCTTCTTTCTCATAGTGTCCAATTCTTTCTGATGCTTCTTCCCCAGTTTGAAATTTTTCTCTTTCTTCAAAGATTCGAGCGTGATGGGTTCCAGTTTTAATTCCTCTGCAATCGCATATCGATGTTTATATTTTTTTTTTCGTACGAGTCTAAACAAAATCGTATCTTTTTTTTATGACGTGATTCGCGCATTGGTTACCCTTCTTTGCTTCCTCTTCCTTTTTCTTCTTAGCATCCGCTTTGGCATCCGTCTGCTCTATTCCAAGACCCTTCATCGTCTCGGTCTGCTTCTCGGCAGCCTTGGAAAATCCGCCCGGATCGGACAAGGCAGCCATAAAATCTGAGATTGAAAGACAATTCAGGCAACGAGATAGGAGAAAAACAAAATAAGAATAATATGTAAATAGTACGAAATAGTACGTAGAATAGTATGTAGATGGTACAAAAAAAAATCGACAATTAAATAATTAAATATTGTAAGAAATACAAAACTCTAATGAAGGTTTTATTTCGCGTTATAAACATTATTTTTATATCGAACTAACAATATTCCACTTTTTTCAATATTCCATCTATCACGATGTGCCACTATTTCTCGCGTCAGTGTATAACGTTCGTGTGGTATACACCACACGAACGGTATCTTCTGCAAAACATGGTGACGTATGCGGTTGCTACATCAGCTATTTTTTGACTCAGGCGTTACCTTCGAATCCATCAGGGACATAAATCTTCAGCTCTATATTACAGAAGAGCATGGGCAGCGCCATCGGAAAGTTAGCCTCAGTCTTCAAGGAGATGTGCCTGTAGCCGGCCTGAAGACCGTCCAAAGGTAAGATTCTTTGACCGAGTAATTTTCCGCTTTCTTCGTACACGCCTGCATAAAAAACGGAACACAAATTAAAATTATTATTTACATCACTGTAAAATGTTTGTGAGAAATACTTTTAATTGGAAAAAAATCTCAATTGTGCAAATTTATAATAAAATATATATATTTTTTTTTTTTAATACAAGAGAGAATTATATCAGCACCGAATCTAAGCACCGCCAGATCCGGAAGCACAACTTTCCGGAACAAAAACGGCTCCTCGTTGTAAACCGGATTCAAACCGTTCGCCGGCACCATTCGTGTTCTGAATTCTTTCTTGATCGTGTCCGCCGGCAGACCGTACATATCCACCTCGACATACGTGCCCACTTTTTTGTCCGACAAGAATTGTCCGGCTATGATCTGAACCCCGCACTGTGCGGTGATGATACCGTCGACGTCCTCAGAAAAAGGATCGAAGCTTCGATCGGGTCTTCGCATGAAGTCGGGCTTCAGCAGATAGCCTGTCGTGCCGTTGTACTCGAATTTCCCTTGATTGAGCTGCATCGGCAGATCGGGTGTTTGAAAATTCAGAGCCACCATCTGACAGCCGGCGTTCCAGAAGACCTATGGAGGGGGTATAAGTGCGTAAGGAAAATGAAAAACAAAAGAAAAAAAAAATCGTCGCGCGTCTCCTCTCGATCGCGCCGGCTATCAACGCGATCAAGAGTGGTTCACGAGAGAGAATTTGTTTATTGTTGTGAGATATGTGTAATATAGATATACGGCGGGTTTAAATGAATAATAACTTCCACGGGGAATTTACTATACGTGTGTAGGTGCGTTTGTGTGTATTATCGCAGTTACCTGGGGCATGTAATTCGACGAATCAGCCCTCGTGCCCTTTGGATATATTCGACTCATTTGCCGCTTGTTGTAATTAACGAACTCTACCGAGTGAGTTTTCAGATAGTTAAGAGCGGCAGTCTCGGAGAACGAAGACATATTATGATGTATATTCTTCTCTGGAAACGCGTCGGGGTTGAGACATTAGTACGTGTCGCGCGCGCGACTTGCGCGCACGTGTACGCTCATTCGTTTAACCCCTTCTTGAACCCCCGGAATGTATACGCGTTTCTCACCCAACGTTATTTTGGTTGTGTGCTATTTTAATTCTAAATAAATTCTGTGTGCAAAAAAAAATGTTTTTTATGAGAAAAGTAAAAGTTTTTTTATCAGAAATATCACGAAATTTACGTGCGCTCACAAATTTACATATTCATTAAATAGCTTTTTCGTGTGTGTAGCTCGACAAAAACTTTTAAAAAAATCTTCTTCCAGAAAGGGTTAAACAAATTCACTTACAAATTTTTCATTTCGTTATATTAAAATATACCACACACTTTCCGCATTTTCGAAGCTCTGAAACTTCACTGGCTGCGCGTAATTTATCATGGCCGAAAGAAAAGGATGACATGCCATGGTACTGCCTGTATATTGAATCGGTGGTGCTTCGCCTTCCGTTCCTTCGCCTCCGGGAGCAGCTTCGCCTTCCTGCGCAATATCGTAAAAAAGTATATCGAAGATTATTTTAAACAATTTTAATTTTTTCAGAGAGAGAAAAAGAGATATGTCGCACATGAAAAAAAAAAACAAAGGAAAACTTGATTTTAAATAATTATTAAAGTAGGTAATTACCTTTGGTGGTTCGGGAACTGGAGGTGGTGCAGCTGCGCTAGCATCTTCGACCACTTCGTCCTTGGCTTCGAATTGTCCGGCAAGGAAGAGCTCGAGTTCGACTTTCTCTACTTCCGGCTTTAATCGCTTGTTCTTTATCAATATCTTACGTTTCAGTGCACTAGGCGGAGGAAGCGGAGATCCAGGTTCGAGCTGATCAACATAATCGTCACATATGATTGGTCTTGATTATAATTTGTTAATTACACGCAAACACGCGTTAATACTCACTGGATAATCTTTCAGAGGCTCTTTCAGTAAAAGATCACCAAATATCTCGTCGCAATATTTCGCCAGTTTCAATTGGTTTTTCAAGCAGCAATGATTCTCGAAACTTAAAATTATGGGATAATCGGAGGTAACGAACGCGGTGTCTCTTATAGCGTAGATCACGTCCTTGAACAATATGTCGGTGCACATAGCTTTGCCGTGAGTTATGATGGGCTCGTCGTCTACGCTTTTGCCGTCCCAACAATCTAACTCGACGCATCTACGATCGAGATAATTTTTTTCGTGTGTTTTGTATTTCAAAATTGATTTTATGTATTTTTATTGATTTTATATCACGTATCACAAAACACCATCGAAAATTGATGATGATTTTTAATCGCCATAAATCAAAATCTACCTTCGTTATTTTTACATTGAAACGTTCGTTTTAAAATGTTCCAATTAATCTGTCATCATTAAAATATCTTCCGATGGTTTTTTTTTTTGACATTCTATGTTTTTTCAATTGTTTCTATATATTTTTTATCTGCATGTGCGATTTTAATATTGTTTCCAGAAAAACTTGTGCGTTGTACCTGCAACCAGCAAGCAGTGTCTGTCGGTACATCTCGACGGTGCTTTTACCACCGATTTGACGACCGCTGAGGTAAGTGTTGTGACTCGAATTGATGTAATAATGCGAGAGCGGCTGGTCCATGTCCATCCACTCTTCCAATTTGTCGAGAAACACCGGCGAGTTCTCGTCCGACATTAAGTATCGTATGAAACCTTCTTTCGTCAATTTTTCTGCGATGCGCAACGCGCATATTAAAATAAAGCAAAAAATATTAACAAAATTTTAATATTATCTAACAGAAGGATTTATATATAAACATTCAATTTTGCGGGAGCTTACTTTCCGATTTCGCTTTCTCATCGCTTTCGTAGTCGTTAATGATTTCGGTGCAACGTTTCTCGTCGTACAGAGGGTACAAGATCTCGTTGAGTCGCGGATCCCTCTGTTTCGTGTTCATAAATTCCACCAATTGCATCAAACTTATGGTATCCGATTTTCCTTTTGTACTGCGTGAAAGACGGATAAATAAAAATTACGACACGCTTGTTCCGCGTGTAATATTTTTTCCGAAAGCGGTATAAAAATTGTCTCTTACGGTCTGTGCGCGATGTCTGAGACTACTTACATTGATTGAAAAAGTTCTTCGATATCATTTCTGGGGCAAATCTTGAAGTACAAACTGTAAAACTTCTCGAATGTGAAAGCCTCCGGCTCCATTTTGTCACCCTAAACGTGAAAGATAGCAGTTTGAAAATGTACTATCCAGCGGTTTTGAAAATAGCGGCGGCGATGACTTCGGAACTGCGCGAGTAAAGTTTTTTTTTTATCGACATACGCTTTTTTTTTTTAAAAAAAAAAAAAGAAGAATATATTCCCATATTAAATAATTTACCTTTCCGCTTGGCAGACCGAGTTCCGCTAATCCTTGATAAACGAGTTTCTCAGTCTTGCCGGATGCAAAAGTCTTTGATATCACTTTCACGGGAACTTTTCCCTTGGGATCAACTTGGAAACTTAGCCGCATCCAACTAATAACGCAATCGGGGTTTTATTTAATAATCGAAGAGAAGAAAAAAATAGTTAACAACAAAAAATAGGATAGTTGGAATAAATATTTGTTATATTTTTACGGATCTAAAAGGCAAGTGTGAATATGTTACGTACTGCTTCATTAGCTGTGTTTTTGGACAAACGTTACACGCTTTTGTGTTGTGCGTAATTAAGCGCAGTCCAGCTTGCCAATCCTGAATTCAATCATTTACCGCAATTTATATATGTATATACATATATATATATATATATATATAATATATATATAATAACAGCGCAAAGAAACGCTACATCTTTAAAGATTTATAAAAGTCTACGTTTAGATAAATACTTTCTTTTAATTAATCTTCTTCAATTTATTTATTTATTACCTTTGCCGTTTTTGCATCCGGACATACCAGATGTTGATAGTGAATGTTAGTGTAATCCACTCCGGAACATATAGTTAAGCTTTTTTCGTCCAATTGTTCCGTAGTTCCGTGTTTGCTTAATTTATTATTTAACTTTGGATCCTAAATAGATCAACAGTTACTTTGTGATTTTTACGCGAATCTGTTGTCTGATACTTTGAATTTTCAAATTTCTTTCTTTTTATTTTTGATTCTGATTTTAAACGAATTTACCTTTGGCGTGCCTCCGTAACGTATGTCGCTCACTTGAGCCAATTCTATGACGTCTCCGTCCTGTCAAAAAAAAAAACGCCGCGAATTATTTATACGCTTGTTTGTCAAAAAGACTGACGCGAAACGAACGCGAATTAAAAGCGCATCTTGAAAACAAGATACAAGTAGGCTACCTTGCCGTCGCTTTTCCAATAAATGAAAAAGCCGTACTCGTCAACTTTGAACAAACAGTTCGGCTCGTATTCGGTCGACTCTTTGTCCTCGAACCATCGATCGAACACACCGCCGTTTCTCAAGAGTTCCGGCACTTCGATGCGCCAATTAAATTCGAACTTCTTTGTCATGGTTCACGGCAACTCTTGAAGGGAAACGCTGTTAAGATAAACTTGGATGCGAACTTGAGCTTGTCGCAAGCTCAAATGAGAGAGTGCCATCGCGAGACTCGGTGTTCCAGAAACGCCAAATCTAATTAGTTATATCTAATTTACCGTATAAGGATTCAACGCGATCGAAACCCCGGCGTAACGGAGATTCTAAACTTACACAAGTGTGTAGTTGTATAACGAAATTTTCTTTCTCTCTCTCTCTCTCTCTCTTTAGATTTCTGCGTATTATAAGCCATATGTGCCGAAATATACGCATAATGTAAATTATTAATTATTAAATTAATTATTAAACAACTAAATATCAGAGTCGATGCCGGCAAAATGTATGCGCAAATATGTATTTTTTTAAACGTGTATATTAATGCACATAGAGATTCGAACCGAAAATTCAAATCGAAAATTTATGTAGGATATTTGGTTCGCACACATCTCATGTAAAATAATTTATCCTTCTATGGAATTAAAAATATTTTGTTGCGAAAAAGACACGAGTCTTTTGACCAGATATCGATCCCGGATCTCCCGCGTTTCGTGCAGAGAAAATATGTAAAATTATAAGTAAATTGTTGTATCAGGAGAAACAAATAATTTTTTCACGCAAAATGTTAAGAAAACAAATTACACACATTCTTTGTTTTTCGATAATAAGTAATAATTTATTAAAATTATGGTTAACAATACACGCGTTATACACATTATATTACATGTATCTTGTGCGATGCGTACGTACAGGAATTTATGCACTTCTACGCAAGTTGAATCAGTGCTTTGTTCGTATGGTCTATCACATGACGATGACTCGAGGAGCAACAATTTACTTTAGCCGGCAATAACATCAGTAACAGAGATACATTCTTATTTTAATGACTCTCTCGCAGAGATAATTTGTGACGAATCGTGTAAATAATGGAATGCTTCGATTGCCGTGACAACGCTGTCACGTGGAGTGACAAATGATATTTTTAACGGGACGTCTATCAAACATTTATTCGTCAAGTCTCAACCTGCAAATACGATCTTGTGATTGTGAAAATTTGATCACTCGCGCGACGGGTTAACGTTATCACATCTGAGGCTTCAGCAAGTAGTGCGAATTCAGTTGCACGGAAGTATTCACGTCTGTTTCCGGTTCCTTGAGCATTATGTCATCCTGCACATTGTGCATAGGCTCTATACAGTATTCCTGTCCGCAAACCTTGCACGCCTCGAAGTGCGGTTTAATGGAATTCTTGAGTCTCTGTGGATGTAAAATGTATTTTATCGCGTATATATTGCGTGTGGAAAACATGGAATTATCTTCGTTAAGTCTAACATAATAAATACGAAGTTTCGAGAAGATAAAAACAATGCGAAATAATTAAATTAAAAATAATTACATTTAAATAAATAATAATCACTAATTACATCTTAATAACAATTTAATTTAATTAAATTCTAGTAATAATTAAATCTTTATGTTAATGTAACAAACAGATAATTTGGGGTACAAAAAATATTCGCGAAATGTAAACGTACTTCGGCAAACGTTGCGCCGTCCGCTCGAACAAGCACGCAAACTGCAAATGCGGGAATGCAAATTAAAGAAAGAGACGCGATGCTCCATCCTATCGTTTCTGCCCACCACGGATAAACGTAGTCGCCGTTGTGATAGGTCGGCGACTCGTAATCGATTAAATTGAACACCCATACGGCCTGAAAAGAGATAAGACAATTACACTAAGATGTGTCCGACACATCTTAAAAACTACTACCGACTACTGCGCGACGTGCAACACAAAACACGGAAAAGTGAGATGAGATTAAAAACAGACAATTTTATCCGCGCGTCACACAAAGCCTGTCACAAAGTACACTTTGTATTTCTTTGAAAAACAACAGTTACGCGAATTGCTTGTTTTTACCGCGAGTTCCGTTTATTATTTGTTGCGGTCGACGACGTCATCTGTTTTATACGAAATCGTGGTTTTGACAACTACAGTTTCGATACGGAAATTGTTTAACACTCGAAGATAACTGTAATATATATATTTATTTATTGCGTACATATATTTGTTTATTGCGTACCATGATGAGAAAAGGTGCGGCGATGAACCAACAGAAGCGAAAGTACATCGAAGGTACGCGTCCGGTCATTTCTTTGACGTTACTGCACAGCCGTCGGACGCCGTAAAGCCATGAGAGAGCAATTACCTCGAAGAACGCCAAGAACATGATCGACATCGATGCGGCGTAATGATCTATCAGTTGGAAGAAATAAATACCACCCTGAGGCAAAAATTATTGAGTGAAAGATCAAATTGTTTTTATTGCAAACACAGTCAATTTTCATCAATTATAGTTCTCTACCTGCGTGATATTCGGCAGACCGAACAAGAACGAAACGACGCATATGAGGAGGACCAGCACTTCGTGACAGAGAAGATGACGCTTCACCCATTTCGGGAAACCATCCTGGATCGACGTAACGACCACTTCAACAACAGCAAACTGAAATAAAGTTTATCGAAATACAGTGAAGATGTAAAAGACTAGTTCGCTTCGATCTCTAAAGACAGAGTTCGCCAAAAAAAAAAATTAATAAATAAATAAAACAATACGCGATTCATTGAACATCGAGCGATATTTTAATTTCAAGGATTTTTTTCCTGTGCTTACTTGACTATTCAACGACAGGCAGACCAGCATAAAGAAAAACAGAACAGCCCAGAGTTGAGAGGCTGGCATCTTGGCTAGCGCTTGCGGATAGACGACGAAGACTAGACCAGGTCCTTGAACGGAAATTATGATTTATCTATAAAATGTCAGGGAAAGTTAATCTGACGATGTGATAGGTGGTGAGAAAAAAAATTCAACAATATCGTAAGAATGTGTACGATTGTATATTCCGATGACGTTCCGCGGTGTGTGCGATCAATTCGAACTTTTCGCTTTTGGGAATACTTACCGTCGGTCAGAACATCTTCGACGGACGTGTTTTGCTCCAACGCTATATTGCCGATCGTGGCGAACGAGAATATCCCGACCAGCAAACTGCTGAAGGCGTTTATGAGCGAAACGGATACTGTGTCCACCAGAATTGTGTTGTGAAATCTGTTGTAACTCGCGAAACATATCATCGATCCGAAGGCGATTCCACCCGAATTGAAAACCTGAGCCGCCGCGTTTATCCAGACCTGAATGCGAAAAAAATTAGCAATTTAATAATTTACATATACTTATGAGAAGAATTTACATAATATAATTGAAAGCTGAAACATGTAATTTGCCGAACCTTGGCGTCACCGAGCAGTTCCCAGCGTGGGTGAAAAAAGAATCGCAGACCTTTTGCGGCGCCTTCCAGAGTGAGTGAACGCGTCAGAAAGACAATGATCAGAAGGAAAGGCAGCGTCGCTGTGAGATATCGTACCTGCGCCGATGACTTGATGGATTTCCAAATGGAAAAGTACACCATGATCCACGCGGTTATCAGACAAGCCACGAGTTCCCATCTCAGAGCTCCCGGCTCTTCGATGCCGTTACTCATTTGCAAGACTTTGTTGCTGTACAGAAAGAGACATTTTTCAACGTGGAAGCACACATTCGTGTCCTTTAACGCAATATGCAAATTTTTAATTATCGTTACAAAACTGAAGCGAAGGCTCCGTGGACTCGAATTAATACACGATTGATCGATTTGATATACAAATCTTTTTATTGTACAATTTTAATGATCTAAAGACAGTCGAAAAAATTTAAATTTAATTAAAAAAACAACTTCGTGTGTTTACTCGAAAAATTCTTCGGACGGTGTTCTCGTGGAGTTCGGTCGAGTTCGATTGTATATGAACCCGTAACTTGGCAGCCAACATCGCGGCGTATTCCACGAATTGTCGCAACGTGTCCACGGTTGTTCAGCCCGGAATGCCGCGAAGAAATAGTAAATTGCGTAAGCTATTATCACATTGTGGTAAGTTGACAGCAGAAACGATATCACGACCGACGACAAACCAGCTCCTAGAAAGATATAGAGCGCAATATTAGACATAAAATATATATAAAATATCGCAACACCATGTGTCACAGAGAGAGAAAAGAAAAAAAACCGACTAATTTTCATGTTCGGTTCATTTTTTTTAAATCGAATTTATATTTTACACGCGCTTCGCACTCCGTGAAAACGGGAGCGAGTGAAGTGCTTTCAAATCGAATAGTTGTTCGTGGCTATTCGTTATCCGAATTTTATCGATAATCCGTCATTCGATGACTTAGTCGTTTACCTTTCAATAACGGACACACTTGACCCAGAGCGCCGATTGGACCGCGACGAGTGAACTGACCGATGCTGAGCTCCATGTACAGCAATGGGACTCCGCATACTATGAGTATTAAAAAATAAGGCACGAGGAAGACACCTGAAAAATCATGCCATCGTTAGAGTCTTCTTTTCACAATCAATGTGTGTGTGCAAGTCTCTCTAAGGCGAAATGTCCCAATGAATTTGTTAAAGAGAAATAATTATTAGACATGTTAATATGAATTCTCAATGTTTCAAGTGTTTAAAACATATTTTTTGAATTATTAGTTTCTAATTTTTTGCACATGTTAAATATTGTTATAATTATTTCTTTAATAAATGTCCGGCCATACTTATTCGGTCATCATTGGGACATTTGCCTTGCTTGGAGACAAGAAAGTGTTCCGCGCTTAAGTGTGAAAATTAATCTATTTTTTTTTTTTATTACTCTCTCCCCCACCTGCCTCCCCCCACGTGAGAGTTTGCCAAACGTTTCGCTAAACACCGGTTCGCGCGCGTACGTAATAGTACTCGACGAGTTAATCATACTGTGGGCAGTGACAAGGTCACTGGATGTAACTCTTTATTCGCAATAGACGACGATCGCAATGCCGTTGATTATGACTTAATTTGACATCGAGCGTTTAAACGTTGCGAAAATAGGTGACGATTAGTCAGTTGTTGACGAATTTTCCTTTTTCCGAGATCTTCAGCGCGTCCCGAGTACACGTGAATTACACTTATCAGTTCTCTTTAACATCAACTGCAAAAATGTTTAAGGAACTTATTACAAAATTTATTATTTATCATAAAATTTCTAATTAATTTTTGAAAAATTTCCACTTAAAAGTCGTTTAGTTTATATGGAGGGAAAAAAAAGTAAAAGAGATCTTGTTCTGTCTCATTCGTGTGTAATTGTGCGGAGATCAGACGCGCGCGATTTGCACCTCGGGAAAATGTAAATTAATCCTACTCGGCAAAACGCTGTATCGCGTTGCGCGCATAAATCACACGACGTTATCCGATCTGTTTTCTCGTCGCTTCAATCTAACTGAACAAAGCGCGGACGATAGTTTTCATTTAATTCGATCGGCAATAATACGAATAATGTACGCGATCATGCTTCAAATAAATTATCTGGATATTAAACGCGGATACGGATAGATAACAATCGCTCGCGATTCAATGACGAGATATGGAAAGATAACAATCGCTGGATTCAATCAATGGAGATCGGAGAGACGATTTATCACAGTTTCGGACGAAAATGCACTACGTTCGATATAGCGTTATCACAAAGGCAGATGTAATAACGCGTGTAAATAAATATATACCGATATTATATTTTTGACAATGTCGTCCTTATATTGCAAAAAAAAAAAAATTTAATGTCGCGGAACAAACGAACACATCGCGTGCGCAAGTAAAAACCCGTATTATTTCCTCTGATTTTCCGGTCGTGTTCGTTTAATATATGATTCCGCAAAATTACACGGATACAAATATTTTTACATAAGAGTTCCGTGCATTATATTTGTTCAACAAATTAACTTGTGCAAATACATGTATAAATTTAAATTACGAAGTGGTTTTCAGGCCAGTTTGCGCACCACGAAAATGATGAACTGCACAAAAGTCATAATAAAATAGAGTTGCTTTTTAAATTTTTTACAAACAAATTTTTTGGAAACAAAAAGTTTCTAATTTTAGAAAAAATATATATATTTAAAGCTATCACTTTGTAATTAAATATCTCGTTTAAAGTTCGTAATAAAAAAAAAATCGAGGACAACTTATGCAAATATTGAATCTAATTTTCTAATATTGTTTGCAATATTTATGTTTTAATATTCGAACGCCAATTAACGGAGACTGCATGTAATTCGATGAACAATTGACACATTATTAATCGATTTAATCGATAAAACGAGAAAATCGTTTAACACAGGCTTGGTTGGTCGCAATTTTTTCGGCAATTTTTAATTGCGTCCTAACAAAGTTATTCCACTTGGAATATTCACAGATTGATTATGCTCAAGTGAAACAACGAACCGCTTGAATCGTGCAACCGCAATCGCGTTACCCGAAGCCGGTTTTCCGGCTCGTCAATTTAGACCGGCAGTGCGCCTAGATGATATACTCGAATTATTTCCACCGGTGTCATTGAAATCATTTACCGCGTGCCCACTGGAGTAGCCGTGTTTCCAGCAAGGTCATGTATCAAGTTCCGAGAGCGAATTGCGCCACGCATCCGTGCTCCGGATGCTTCCAGACTTTGAAAATTGTCGGGAATACGATACGCGCTCACGTAGCAGGGATTGCGAAAGAGAGAGAGAGAGAGAGAGAGCTCCGTCCCGTCCGGAAACCTTACGCAAGATATCGCGCGATTTTCGCGGAATTCGTCTTAATTCGGGTTTTCCGCAATTAGATCATTTTCCCTTTGTCATTTTTCACTCGTCCAGAGAATACGTGAGAGTGTTTTATTTAATTACAAATAATGAAATTTGAATCTCTAGTAAGATCCTTCAAAATGTCAAATTAGGAAAAGATAAGATGGTGAGATAAGATTGAAAATTTTTCATTATATATTGTAGACATTGAAAAGAATTGAAATGTGTAAAAATTGAATTGTGTAATAATTAAAAACTAACAAATTGCTGATTTACGTTTACTACAATTCGCATTGAACTCTTGGCTTCTCATTTTTTTCCAATTTACTTAATTATCTTAATTATCTTAATTATCTTAATTATGATTACCATAAGATTTAATAATATATTTTTCTCGCGATGAAATATTTAAACTCTCTCGTAGGAATAGGAAGAGAGAAAAAAAAACGGTTCAAACTTCGCGAGATATTCGACGCAAAAATGAGAGAGAACGAAAGATTGTTACTTTTGTCAGCTATATTTTGTTACTGACGTACATGACGACGCGCAAAATAACCACGTTCTCTCTTATCACGGTTATGCTAATCGCAACGACACGTCTCGACTATGTTACCTACTTATTTGACACGCACGAATTTATTCTCGCTTTCGCATCTGACATGTGGTAACATCTACGCCGATTTTTTTGCCGTTTTTTTCCGTTCTTATCTCTGTCTGTTTACCGACACGATAAAGCACATATCTCCATTAATTTTTTAAATCGAGTGTGAGATTCATGTCACGATTTATCCGAGCAGTTTACGTAATGACGAATTGATGTTGTGTTGTCGCACGCGCGCGCGCGCAAAGCTCACCGCCGCCGCTCTTGTAGCACAGATAAGGAAATCTCCAGACGTTTCCGAGACCGACGGAGTAACCTATGCAGGCCAGTACGAATTGCACTTTATTTGCCCAATGAGGCCTCCTGGGCTGCCGGTAATCGCCGAGGTCGTCCGCGTCGCCGTCGTCATAGCTGGTGTACGTAGACACGTCATCCTCGAAGCTAGAAAAAAAAACAAATAAAACGCATCACATCCAGTCAAGATGTTTTATTTTGCAAATGCGAAACTGGATGAAGAATAGGGTGCAAAAAACGAGATGTTGAAAGAACTTAATGTAAAATGTGCGAAAATTGTGACGACAATCATATTACAAAATCGAGATGATTCACTTTTGAATTGTCAGCTTCTTACGTATCTAATAGAAATAGACTTCAAATTAAATTTAATTTAATGTTTTCTTCACTTTGGGGAACACGTAAAGTGCTTTTGAGTGTTTGAATTCTTGAACTTTTTGTTGATGATGTGTACAGAGTTGATGTACATACAGTTTCAAACGTACATCAAAATCCAAGGATAAATCTTTTAATTAATTATTTAATGTAGTGCAATTGCGCACGCGACCGAGTGGACTATACTTCTCTCTCTCTTTCTGTGTGTATGATTTTCCGTCAAATCAACGTATAATACATTAAGCAGTTTACATTAAACGCGCGCACAATGCGAGATACAAAAGCATTAAATAGTTAATGATTTTGCGTCTAGCATTGTACGTCTATTTAAACTGCTCAATGCACTATGAATTGATTTGGCGGAAAATCGCACAGAGTTGATCACTCGTCAGTCATGTTACGCATGAACGTGTTGGCGAATTTGCATGGCACGCGTCCATGCATAAGTCCGGTAGTGATCATTAAATATTCATCGTCATTGTTTACAGAACGACGGTAATCGATGGAAACGTAGTATAGTAGTCATTCGAACTCGATTGTTGCGATACTTCGATTAAGCGCAACCGGTTCAACGTTATGCAAAATCGTAAAGGTTGCCAATTGCAGGCTGATTTTGTGTGCGCTTTCATTTCCGGATGAAGAGAGAGAAAGAGAGAGAGAGAGAGAAAGAGAGATTGTCACAAAAATAAACCAGATAAAAAAATTATAGGAAAATTATAGAAAAAACTACTTATACAATATGTTGTAGCGAAGTGCACAACATAAAACCGACCTTGCTGCAGCGCATTACATAAGTATCGAGATCGCACAGGAATTTTTATGCGTTTATCGCATAAATTCACACTTTACGGTGCGGTGAGCGCAGAAATGGTGTCAGACTACGGGCGACAGAGGGGCAGGAAAGGGCGGTCGACGCGCTGAAAGATATACGCGACGCACCTGTGTACATTCCCGTTTGTTTCACAACGGAAAACTAATACACGGTGTGTGTAGAGATGCGATAATGCGCGCTATTACTCGCGCACTATCGCCGGAAATATTAGGGGGGAAAAAACAAAAAAAAAATAAATAAGGTAGACAACTTGCGTTAAATTTTTCGCATTAAAAAAAAAAAAATATATAAGCGACATTTTTAGAGAAGTCACGCGTTTTTACTTCCGACACTGATTAATGCCAGTGTAAATTAACAATCAAGTTGCAAATGTAGCGAAGTACAATAGATATAACAGATACACAAAAAATTATACAAATCGTACACGAGTCTCTGTATTCAACTATAAAAAAAAGAAAAAAAATCAGTGAGAGACAAGTGCAAGGTTTTTCTCGCAATTTTCGATGCAATTAGTTTTTTCAAATTACATTCACAGGAAGGTAAAAACAAGATGCGAACCAAGCATCCGATTTAGATTTTTGAGAGAATTAAATCTAATTCTCATTTGAATTAATTCAAATTTACATCTTTTAATTTACACTTGAAAAATATTTTGCACTTACGTTCTCTGACTGCATGACTCTTCTCTCAATAGACACGACAGATATAATATAATAATTACACGAGTTTATAGCGTTCGGAGTCCTTTGCTCTCCATTAACAACTTAACGATGACGAGTATCATTTTCGCGACGGGCCTGCGCCGGTTCAAAACCGACCGAGACGTGACGAGGTCTATAAATGTAGGACAAACGATTACGGGTCGTTTCGAGCGTCGTCCCGTTTCAATGGAAGAAGCGGGACAGAGTCGCAACAATACGCACGAAACGCACGAACACACCTACTTACAACACAACGGGTACGGGTCTTTACATTGTGCACCTATTATCCACTTACGTCTCTGGAACGATACGTCGAAATTGCAGTCCCCGTATGACAAGCAGCTCAGACGGGTAGCGCATCTCTCTCGTCGCGTGGATCCTTCCCCGCGCGTTTCGATACAGGATGAGACTCAAATCGAAACCAATCGTAAAATCGGTATAATTTAACGCCGGTTCATTTCTCGATAAGACTTTGCAAAACAGAGAACCGGTTCTCTCGGGCGCAAATGCGACCGATGTTTGAATTCACCGAAATTCACTTTTTAATTATCTACTTTCTTGATTTTAAACGAGCTTTTAGTTTTTTTGTTTTTAATTTTGTATCGTACGGACTATTTTACATTCGCAAATAAATTTCTATGCAACAGTTCAGAGCAAAGTTGCAGAAATATTAATTAGAGATCATCTAAGTGGGAAACAAATTGGGAATCAATTTTATAATCACGTCGTTGATCAACAAGATATTAAAAATTTTTATAGTTAAAAACTTTCTTTGCTAATTATTTGAATATTAAAGAAAGGAAAAGTAATAAAACATTTTGTTTTCAAATTTCTGTCAACTTTTGAGATTTTAACTCATGTACGAACAAGCGTGCAATTTAAATTTTTGACAGTTAAAAATTATATGTTACGTTACATTCGCACTTGTTATTGCATCATTGCGACTTTGCAGCGGTGGGAAATTTGCGACTTGAAATGACAATTAACGCGCATTCGGCAAAAACAATCAGTTGTATGTGCGTGTGGGAGTCTGATAGTTACGGATAGTTATAACGCGCCGTGGATCTTTTCTACTGAGCATTGTCTCACTTTTGCTGCGTTTTTATGCGCGGTTTAGACCATTCAGAATATTTGCACAAAGCATTAACTTGCTCGCGACGAACATATGGTGTCCTTTTTAACCCATTCGTGACACTAGTTTGCGACGACGACGTATGTTGCTCAAACTCAAAAGTCAAACACGGTTACATAAATATAAATGCTGCTTTTATTTATTCTTTATTTTTTCTCACTCGTAATGTCAATTTGTCAAAGTTATTCAATTTAATGTTTTAATTGCTCTGAAAAAAATAGCGCGACTTGACTGTGACACTTCTGTGAATGAATGGTTCGTCGTTCATTTAAACGAGGCTTAAACCCGTTCAAATGCGAACTCCACGCTCAAACCGGTCACGCGTGCCTGCGATTACGAAGGAGGTGCGTGATTCATGTCTCGTTTCTTCGAAAGTGTCGCGCGGCACTAACATAGGTAATATGTCTCACTTACGGTGGCGGATGTACCACGTTAAGCAACTCCGTCGGCGAAGTGGGAACTCTACGTATTGTGAGCTTCCTGCCGTCGGAAGAGCCCAGGCCGATCGACGCAACGGACCTGATCGAGACCGTGTCGGAGAACAGACGAGTCTGGCCCACGCCGTTGGCGTCCGCGTACAAGACGGACGACCAGGAAGACGACGACTGATGGCAGCAGGGACAGTGTTGCTGATTCTCGTCCATGATGGCGTTCGAGATCCTTGACGGCACTTGTACACAGTGTTGTCGATGTGGTGGCGGCAGATGATCGATGCTTTTGACGCTCGCTCTGCCAGGACTCTGAGGCAGTCCGTTGTCACGACTCGACCCGGTCTCGACCAAATCGTTTGCCAGTCGAGACTGCCACCGATGATGATGACTTCTTTCCTGAACACTCTCGGGACTGCGATCGCGACTGATTGTCCTTCTGACGTTGCCGTTGCCGGTCGCGCTCGTCGGCGCAATGACGATTTTATGACCGACCGAATTCAACAAACGACCTCTCTCCTTATCCGTAGACCACTCGATCTCCTCGGGACGTTTTTGCTGGTGATTACCAATCTTGATCACATCCGGATCCGTGTCGTCGGACATGGCAGCGTCCTCCTCTTCCAGCATTGTGCTCATTTTACGCACAATCTGTCTGCGAGGAAGCTTGTTACCGGTAACATCGCCGTGTTTCGACGAAACGGGAGTGCAACTGTCGGGAGTTTCGGTGATTCCGCCGTCGTTATTGCTGATCTCGGTGTTCATGATCGCATGACACAGCTTCTGCAAACAAAGAGAAATATTGAGGAGAAAAAATTCAACAATATTTTATTATATTAAGTATTTTACATCAGAACAACCCGAATCAAACGTATTTCTAGTTTTATTACACACACATCCGTCAATTTGACGGATATTTGAAGAAAACTTTATTTGTGATTACTTTGTTATTATTTTTAATTTTTTTAATCTTTAAATAACTAATTAGCAAAAAGTACTTTCAAGTACAAAGGTTTTTAATAATTTGCGCTTATTTTTTTCTTGAAGATAAAATTACTTAGAATATTTTTCGCATTTCTGAACTTCGTCAGTTTTTACGGATTTGATTCTTCTAATGCGTGTTAATTATATCAGCACTGCACTTTGTGTGTACGTGTAAAAATCAATTTTTTTTTTTTTTTTTTTTACAAGTGTAGACAGTCAATTAAAGATTATTCGATGATTCTCTCTTTTTTTGCGGGACGAAAAGAAATGTTGGATAATATTCGAACTCTCTTTTTGTCGATTTTATCGAGAAGAGGCGCCGCTGGGGGCGATGAAACACTCACGGGATTTAAACGAGAAGAATGCGCGCACCGTTAGGTATCAGCGTGATCAAAGTACGTATTCGATTCGATGATGGGTCTGCGGTTGTCTCTCTTGACTATTGTGGCCGTACGTCGATTAAACACACCGCATATACTCGTTTTTGGATATTAAATTTGAAGTACGTGAAATTTGAATTGCGCAATTTGCGCTGTTACTTAAAATTCCGCTCGTCGATGTGGAAACAGCTTTAAATAATGAAGATTTCCTGTCGCATTTCTATGACTATCACAAATTGTCCGACATAATTTTGCAATAAATTTTAGTTTTTTTTTTTTATTTGATATAACATTGATATAAGTATTTCCGCAATGTTTTTAATCATTTAAATTACATCTTTCAGTCCGTTTGATATAACATTTAGTTCATTTTTCAAACCAGCTTATTGCTTTGTTTTGATTTTACTTACTTCTTTTTTCGCTTCAAGTGTTGCACAATTTTGCACTTTTGCCAAAATAACGTCCTTTCGTCTTTCGAGACAACGAGAATCGCATGTATCACTTATGAATAGACGGTCGACTATCGTCGTTATGCGACTCTTTACGACATTCTGATAGCAGAGATAGCGTCATTACAAGTGTGCGTGTGTGTATATAGCCATCAATACAAACAATTGATTTATTGCAATATTTTTACGCCCGATAATGTTTACACACGTTTTACGATGTATTCAAACGGTTTCCACACCGATAATTTATTACACGCGCTAGACGTGAAATGTATTTCGCGAACAATATATATTTTCTTTTTTTTTTACACTTACGTTTATGTCGTATGTAGCTTGCGTATAAGTAGCTTGTACGGCTAGTGACTTCCCGGATGTGAGACCCAAAAATTTGAGAGCGTACTTTATAAGAAGAGAGTCAGATTGTTTGATTTCCTTTCTCTTAAATAGATACCATAAATGTTCTCGGGACAAACGGCAAGGAGAGAAAGAATTAAGAATGAGCGTGACAAAACGATCTTCCCACTTAGCGTCGCGAACGACGGTGACTATAAAAGTTGAACGAGACGGAACGTACGAGGTAGAGACAGTTCGCCTTTGGGACTACCAAAAACAGGGTCAATCATAAAACTGTCACCGTTGTTTAGCCAGCTAACTGGTTTTGTGCCAGTAGCGGGGATAAGAAAAGAATCTTATATCGATGAAAAAATTTTGATCCGTTGTCCGGAAAGTGTCAATTTTGATTCTTCTTAATTTGCTTATTATATTCGCCTATTTCTGAAATGCTAGAATAACATTAATTTACTGTTAAAAAAATTTTATTTTAACTATGTAAAACAATGTCTAATATTATTATATAGTTGTATACATAGAAAAAAATTTTTATACTTATATGTATCTGAGAAGCGACTTTATATAATAATGAGACTTTACGAGTTTTACGCTGTGACACATCCTAAAGCGTTAACACAAATATCAGTTGTATTATTTTTTTTTTTCAAACTTAATATTATTGCACAAGCATTGCAAAAGCTGTCCGTGTTTTATTTTAAAAAACTAAAAAGAAAGAAGAGGAAACGCTCTATTCTCGACCGAGAGATCGATCGAAGCGCGCGCTTTTTGGAACGCGTTCACAGGTGAACGTCATTCGAATGACGCTTTTCCATGCGCATCACGTGTTCACGCGAAGAGCGTTACCTGTCAGATCGCAGCTTGCCTCGAGCGGATCGGACGCGCGTTTCAACAAACCGAGCAAAAGTCATTCGCGTATCGGGCGAAGTGAGTGATAAGGTTTCACGCAAACCGCGCGCACTCACACACACATACAAAAACACACAACGCGCGCGATCACGTGTACACGTGTACTATCGTCGTCAACGTTGCGGCATTCGTTTTCTGTTCACTTCTGTCCTTGCGGAACGGGCGCGTGAGCGCGGCTGAATAAGCGCCGATTCAAAGCGCCGCACCACGTGAGAATCGGACTTCGGAACGACCGCGCGAAGCGACGACACCGCCGTGAACCCGCGTTTTGCGGCGATCCGTGCGTCGTGAATCGTAACTCACACACGTCAACCATACGTCGCGCATCACGTACCGTGTGATATTATATCGCGACGTCAGCGCCGTGCATGCCTCGCGGATGCATACACAGCGGAGAGAAACTCGGACTTGATTCGCATTACTCTCGCACGTTACAACTCCGTCGGTTCTCTGGCGGGAGATCATGAATATCCTCTTCTGGATGTGACCCGCCTCTACCGTGACCAACTCATCACTGTATGCATTTAACGGATCGCGTAGGGAGAGGCGCGCCGATGTGCGCGCCCGATTGGCAATAGATAAGTCGGATTGTCGGAAGATAAGAGTTCGCAGGAGTTTTTATTCCGATTCTGAGATACAACCACGCATTTTAACGGAAAATATTGTCGATTCTCCGCTTGAAGTTATATGCGCTTCCGCGAACATTCTGTTGAGAAAAATGACAATGTCAGTAGACTAACTACGAGTATTTTCTTCTCCGCACAAAGCCGTTTTCAAAGCTCGAATCAAGTACAACAGACGTCTACTTTGTAGTCAAAAGTAATATCAAGTAATTTGGTTTTTTTCCAATGATCTCTCGTAGAAACAGTATGATGAAAGAGAAGCAGCTTTCTATACGAGATTGAGCAACACGATCAAACGTTTCCACGTAATCACGTAACGACTTAATTATGACGCAGTAGAACTCTTCTAAGGTTTAATTCATACTTTGAAACGATATCGAATTCTTTTTTCATTCTGAAAATAAAGCAACACAAGGTGAACACGTTTGGGTCGCCTGTTAAATGGCAACCGCTTATACCGCGACGTTTCTCAAGGGGCAACGCTCAAAATTCATGTTTCACTTAATATACAAAGTGTGATTGTTTATATTTTTTAACGTACATACGCGCTTACATTTATTTATATCTAGAAGGAAACATGACAGTGTTAGAATTTTTTAATATTTTATTTTAAGAAAAATTACGTTTTGCTTCACATATATTTATATATATATATGTATGTGCAGCGAAGGTTTCGTTTCCTTTCACTGAGATTTTTTTTTTCACAACAAATATTGATTATGTTAATGCCTCCGTAACTACATGTGCACTTGCGCGAGTGCGGTCACGTATTTATGGGTGGTAGGATCACTGGGCCAAGGACCAGTCCGTGGCGGCTGTTCAGTTTCCCACGGAAGACCAGGTAACGGGTGCTTGAGAGATCTCGCCGGTGTCATTATCCTTTGGTAAAGTAAGTAACAGGTACAATTGAACGTAACCTTTTTCTCTCTCTCTCTCTCTCGCGCGCGCGCGAGAGAGAGAGAGAGAGATAGAGAAATACCTCGATGCTATTAAAATTTCCGTAATCCATCCACTTATAGGTAGTTGCGACTATAAATTTGTCGGATCCGTGCTGGAACGCGTTTTATTTCACCTTCGAAATTTAATGCGCATTATGATCATAGTGGCGCAAACGCCGGAACACAAGGATACGTTTATTTCCTATGGTCAGGGTTAGCCTGTTAGACTGTTGCGCAATTTTTGCACGTTTACGTATTGCTACAGATATTCAAATCCAAACACCGCGAGAGACAGCCTTTCACCGGACCGTCGTGCGTGTTTGTTTCGCATTTGACATTAAAAACCCACGTAAATATTTCTATAAATTTTTTATTACATTTAATCTCTTGTCGTACAGACAGATCACTTGCGAGCGCGACGATCTCTTCAAGATGATCGCGTGTGGATGCAATCAAACTAGAAAGTTTTTTATCGGCAAAACCTGCAATTATTTAAAATGGAAAAATTATATAACAGCAGCATTTTGTTGCCAAAAACATTTTACTTGTCAAGTATATCAATTACTTTCAGACACAGCAGTCGTTTAAATCGTCTTGAACATCGATTACATATCGCGCTTGTGAGGCAAATAACGTTGCTGCGTCATCGGGGTCATTCTCCCGAAAAAAAAAAATGATCGATAATCCTCTCTCTTTTTGCGACGCATCTGCGCGACTTTTTAGAGGAGTACGATCTCGTATCGCTCACGATCGCGTCAAACCGAAAAGGAGAAGTCTCCGAGTTTGTAAAGAGTTGCGCAAGACGCAATCGCTTCATGTGTCATTACGTAAAGGCGAAAACTGCAAGCCGCACGATGATCACTGACGAGCGTCAGTCGCCGCGGTTAAGAAGGAAAATCTTACGTCGCGGAGATTTGCGCGCGTGATTCGAACGAACTCTTCGCGCCGGGTGCGACGACCAGTGTCCCATCATGCGGATTGACAGAATAAAGCGAGATGGAAACCACGTGTTGGTAGTCCCGTTCGACGCGGGGATGCCGCCCCGTCGATGACAGGTGCTCTCCATTCCGAAGCTCCAGAAGGAGCAACGCGGTCACACCGAAATAAACTTTCCCGGGTTATGTAAAGGCTTTCTGAGATGGCTCTCCGTCTTCGTGGACTCCGCCGGTATAAAGGTCGGCTGTGCCCCCAACGGTCCAAGAGTTGCTCGCGAACTTCACGCCGGCAACCATCGGGAGAAGCGGTCGACGCTCCACACACATGTGATGCTGATTGTGGTGTCTATTTGTACTCGCTAACATTCTCGTCATTTGAACGCGTCGCACCACTTCGTTTAAAAAAAAGCTTCGCTTTGTCAGACGCGTGAGAAAAAGAACGTTTATTTGAAATAAAACGCGCGCGATCGTCGTCCAAACCGGCAGCATGCGTGTTCTGGTAAGTGTGCTTCTTTGTTGACGATTTTCTCGAGCAAGTTTATTATTTTTACAGAGAAAACAAAATTGTTTCTTATATTGTAAAAAACAATTTTGTACTATGTTAAAATTTTTGTACTGTGATGTAGTCCTGTATGTTCGCGCGATAAGATAATTAAAAGAAATAATATTATCAATGTTAATTAAAAGAGAAATTAATCGTAGCTTAGTTTATGCTTTTTTTCTTCTTAGCACAAATTTACAGGAAAGAATAATAATAACGTATTTTTTCGCAACAGATGCATATAAAAATAATACATATGCAAAACTAGGTTGTGATTTTACTGAAAATTGTTTTGCGGGAAGAGTCTTTTGCATGTAGCATCGATAAAGTACAATGTGCCACAACGCTCTTACGATTTTTACGAACTTTCTGTTTATCTAAAATGCACACGCGGGAGAATATGCATAGAAATAATATATTTATGCAAATACGTACCATAGGTTTCATCACATTATCCGCGTCAGCCGAACATCAAGCTTACTAATTAAGCATACACCAAGCATACATTTTACATGGCACACAGCAAAATACATCAACTCGTACTATTATTTTGTCATTACTATTGCGCGCGCGTTTTATCTCAACTAATCAATCTATTTCAATGCAAGTTTCTCGTTAATTAATACAAGTGATTTTGTGCTTTAACCACGTAGTCATCGTTAAATCATGCATTCCAATGTAGAAAAAAAAAAAAAAAACAATGTCAAAACGCAATAACTTTTACACGAAGAAGAGAACGCAAAACAAAATATTTTTTTCAATTTCCATATATATTTCCAAATTAATTATAATGTATTACGTAAATTCAATTTCACTGTAACGGCACTTGTTTCCGCCATCTATTAATCTTGCCACGTCAAAATCAAAATCGTTTGCGTGCGCGTATTTATAAACAATCGCGCATGATTTATAATGTTACATACGAGGATTTGTATTTGCGAGAGCTACGCGATGCAACAAAAAAAAAAAAAAAAAACACACATTAATATAACGCACGTAATTTAATACATTGTCCGTCTCGTGTTGCATAATCTGTTAAATTACATAATCCTCTAAATTTGTAAAACTCGCACGACAACAACATTATTGAGCGCCGGGAATAAGCACCGTCGTCGATTACGGCGCGCTCGAACGCGCCGTGTGTCGATTTGCATACATCTATATAATTTTCTAATTGTCTACTTTCTCGCGTCTAGAAAGCACGAGTTAATCTCGTTAGAGAAGCATCTGTTCGATATTTGACGGCAATGTGTGCCTATTTGTATTCATTTATATTCGCCTGACGCGATTGTTTGCATCGGACGGCAGTATAAAACGGCAAACGAGCACGAGAACAATCGGTTCTCGGATTGCCAGTCGAAGGTTTTTATGGAAAAAAGTAACGTTCGCGCAGGTAACGTAACGCGCGTCATTAACGCGAGATAATCTGCCCCTTACCGATCGCAAGTGAGTATATCTCGTGACCCACCTACCGCTACATTCATCTTGTCCTGACCTTTCGCGGGGAAAGGTATCTCCGACGGCTTTATGGGACAAACACGATGAGGATTTAAAGTATATAATGGATAGACGCGCGCGCCCGGTTTTCCTTTGCTTGTATGAGAAACTGCCTGTCTCACGCCGATGCTATCTCGGTCGAAGCGAGGAGGTGACATATGTCGCCCGGATTGTCCTGATTGTTATTCCACACACAAACTGCTCATTAAAATAATCACGAGATAAAAGAATCCGGACATGTGTCGGACGTTTCTTTTTAATTACCTTTCGCGGCCTTCGCGAAGTCTATGAAAATAAATTTATCGCGATCGTAAACGTTTGACGCTAAAAGTCAATGTATTATATACCTTGTCAAACGATGAACCTCTCGTCGTCGTTGTTGCGAAGGACGACCGGTCCTCACATCATTAAAGTCCGAAAACAATGTTGTGTATTCGTTATTCGATCAGGATGACGTAATTAATTTGATCGCAATTAATTCGATGACAATGTTCGAGAGATCGTTCGAGAGATCAAACTAATGAACATCCAAGAAAAAGTCTCAGTACGCATACATTTTTAAAAAATACTTTTTAATTATCTTTATTTATTTCTTTAAATACGCAAATTTTGAGAACACACACACACACACAAACGCAGTTTTATTCACAACTTATCTAATTTGAGAAGATCGTTCGGTTCTATACATAGAAAAACTACACATTTAATTTTAATTGATATCACATCGAAATAAATTTTATCTGCAACGAAAACATTTATTATGTACTTAAACGACTCGAAACTTGTCAAATAATAAATAAATTATTACGCGAAAAATATAAATCACTCGAGTAAATAAATCATTTATTAAAGAACTAGTTTCGTTCGCGCGAAGAATTTTAATAAGATACACGAGACACATAAATTAATACACAACATGAATTGTATAATTTTATTCGATATATGAGTCATAACAGTGATACTTAATTGCGGTAATCAATACAAATTATCCGCGACAAATTAGTAAATAATACCGATCATAAACGTAATAATTTATTGAATCGACTCGAGAACGTTTTCTACGTACATATTTCAACTCGAATAATTACATGAGGGAGAAAGAGAAGAAAAAATAAGGAAGAGAATAATAATTTTATTTTTATGACATATGGTTTTTTTTTCAGATATTAGCAGCTTTTGTCGGACTGGTTCACGGTCAATACTTTCAGGAACCGGAAAAACTCGTGAGCTATTCGCAGGATCTCGGCGACACACGCGGACACTATTCGTTTTCTTACGAAACCGAAGGCGGCATAGTTCAGAAGGAAACCGGTAAACGCAAATATGCGGGCACCGCCGACGAGACGCAGCTGATTCAGGGCTCGGTGCAGTACAACGCGCCCGACGGCACTCCCATTGCCGTGAGCTGGACCGCGGACGAGTTCGGCACCCAGGTGTCCGGCACCCACATTCCCACCCCGCCGCCGATTCCGCCGGCGATTCAGCGCGCTCTCGAATGGATCGCCAAGCAGCCGAGCACGCCGGAACCGATCGAGAAAGATAATCCGACACCGAACGCGGTCCCCCGGGACAATCGTCAGTACAGATTTTCCTCGAATAAACGAAACTGATACAACACTCGTATCACTCGTAGCGCGCCATCAAGTAGCGTTAACCGAGAACGTTAGTTAGTTTTTAGCCAGCACCACTGCCTGTCTCCTTCCTACGTCGCTCCTATATATTATGTTATATTTAATAAACTTTTGTATTTTTATAAAAATTGCTCAGATGTTTTAATGCCGATTTAATGAAATTCAAGTTTTTTCAATGTGCCGATTTAATGTAAACTGTTTTTTTTTAGGAAGAGTTGCGCCGCTTTTACAGTAGAAAAGTGATATCGATTAAGAACAAGTGACTTTTTATCTTCTAGGAAGCGATTTGTTTGCTCGTTTGCGCTTCGAATAATTTATACATGATCTCACAATTTTCACCGCAAAACGTCTCAAAATACACAGATTTTTTATTATTACAAACCGTCATTCGTGTCCTTTTACTTTCTCGTCGTTGTCTCGTCTAGAAGTGAATTAATCAGACAAGATGTAACTTTCAAAGCTATACACGCACACACGTGTGTATGTGTGTGTGTGTAAATAATGGCGCAAATAAGTGAGTATATGTTGTGGGATTGCTCAAGTGCGCAATACACACACGTATTTTATTTTTAACCTTATGTTTTACCTGCCTCCTCTCGAGATATTACGAGCTTTGTTAAACACGCACGTTTCACGCAAATGTGTGATTCGCAACTGTAAGAATATACGATGCGCTATTTTTAGTATTCAACGTAACGGGGAGAAGCTGCAATTTGGGTTGCAGTTTTTAGACATGCGCATTATCATAATTCGGCTATGCAAATTTTGTCCTTGCCAATATCATTTATTTGTCTGAAGAAGAATGACATATTTTGTTTTTTTTGTAAAAGTCCTATCGACTTTTTTTAATCTGTTAATTAAGTTTATATTATATTTCAAGGTTCGACGTGTCGAATTAATATTCAGAAATCGATATTCAAAATAGACGATATTATTTGTATCAAATATCGATGTTGCGACATTTCTGTTTTTTCGTTTTTTTTTTTTTTTTTTTTTTCTAAGTTTGAGAAACATGTGACATCATCACACACGTATGTCCGTGTGTTCATAATTCAACTCGGCGAAAAGAAATTTGCTCATCGCACACTTCCAACTTTCCGCAACTTTATAGCGCACTTCACTGCATCCCGTTAACGCTCTCATTAAAA